ACTTGTTGAAATCTGTTGGAATTTATATTGGCCATGTTTTTCCCCAATACTGCACAAATTTTTTCACCATGTAATATATCTAACACAACGTAGCAGCTAATTGTTTCATGTGATATCCAGACACCAAGAAGTAGAATGAAAGACCAAGTTTGAAGTGTCTGCATATTGGATAGCCTCCCATGCAGGCGTTTTTAGGGCCTTGTCCGCATTCCTTCCCAATAAATGTCTTCTGAAATGAGCAGCCACTTCCATTCATAGAAACGGTTCAATCAGAGGCCGTTTTCCAACTATGGGTAAACTTGTGTTTGTTATTATTACCGGGGACAAGGTAGCAGACTTAAAAATATAAAATGATGTGCTGATGTGCAAAACATTTGATATTAGAGAGTTGAAGCCATATCAAAGAGAAGCCATAGTACAGTTTGTGCAGAAGAAGACTGATGTTGTTGTAAATCTTCTAACTGGATGTGCAAAGTCACTGATTTATCAAGCGTTACTGTCTGTTTTCGACTCAATTTTTGAAGCCACTAGCCATGTAGTTGTTGTGGTTTCGCCACTTGTAAATCTCTTCAAAGACCAGGTCGACAAGCTGGCAAATCTTGAAATTCTTTCCACTTCTCTCTGTGATAATCAATGAAGAAAATGCAGGGAGTGTACTGTATGATAAACACAACAGTCAAGATGGCTAACCAGCTAAAAGTGCTTTATTCTTCGTGTATGTTACGTGATACACTATAACAAATAATGACACACTAGGGTGGTCTAAGCATTTATGCCACCTCCTTCCCTTTTTGGAAAAAAAAAACGAAGTAAATAAAATGAAACAAAATCTACACAAGTGTCTCTGTCCTTGGATTTTAAAAGAAAACAAAACCATAAAATGGTTCTTAGTCCCTAATTTGGTCTAGAGGTCCAACTGCTCTTGTTTTACTACTCTTCTGCTACTTTGGGTAACTTAAGGCTCTGAGCTGTCCATCTTTGGTGGTTCAGGGTCATGGTGTCCTGAGGTGAAATTACAGGCAACACTGGTGGGGCTCGAGCATGGTCAGTCTCATCCTTGGGTAGGTTCTGGTGTGCACTACCATCAAGAGATAGTTCCACATTTAAACTTCCATGTCCTGGAGCTGGGCAAACTCATAGCTGCTGTCTGTTGCAGTGATACTTTCTGCTATCTTTTGCCTGAACTACGTAGGGCCGTTGTGTGTTTTTTTTGTCTGACTACTGTCACTGGCCTCCACTCTCTGGAATCTGTCCAGGGCTGCAGTCGCACCTTCGTTCTGGGCTGTAGGTCCTTCATTTCACTGCTAGCATGTCCGTCATGGTACTTCGTCTGATCCTCTTTGGTCTTCTTCAGGTACCTAGAAACATCCTTTTAGTTGACACTAGCAGGTTGAAGCAAGCTGTCCATCACTGGTAACTGATTTCTCAGTCAATGTCCCATCAGCAGTTGTGCTGGCAACAGTTCAATGCCTAATAGTGGTGTCATCCAATAGTTTAGTGAGGCCAGATGTTTTTCACTGTTCTTTCGCCGTAGATTTTTTGACAGTCTGAATGGCTCTCTCTGCCTCTCCGTTAGACTTTGGGTAGTGGGGCGAACTGATGACATGCTTGAAACCATACTCTTTTGCAAATTCTTGGAATTCACTTCTGCTGAATTGGGGTCATTATCTGAGACCCCTTATGCTGGGATCCCATTGACTCCAATTGTCTCTTCAACTCCTCTACTACAACACGCTGCTTCTCAAAGACTCCATCTTTGTAACTTGTGGGAACTTGCTGCGATAGCACACAGAGAGTAAATAGCATTCCCCTCGAATCAAACAGATCAGTTCCTATCTTCTGCCAAGGAAGTTTTGGTGGTACAGTGGGTTTCAATGGCTCCATAGGCTGTGTCTTCACAAAATCCGCACGCAGGCTACAGTTGGAGACCATTTGCTCCTCATGTAGGGACATTCCAGGCCAAAATAGTACCTCTGGCTCTTTGTCTGCATTTGTGTATTCCTAGGTGACTCTTGTGGATCTGGCAAGGCTCTTCAGGTCTCATAACCTTTGGGATAGTTAAGTGTGTTCCTTTGAAGAGGAGTCCATCTGCTGTTGCGACTTTGTCACTGAATGTCCAGTAGAGTCTTGCCTCTATAGCAACTTGCTTCTTTGTGTCTGGTCATCCATTTCTTCTTCATGGTTAGGACTGCTTTTAGCTCTGGGTCTACTATGGTCTCTTTCTGGAAGTCTTTATACCGCTCCAATGATATGGACAGGACCATGTTTATTTCCTAGAATTCTTCATAAGCTTCACTGTCAACAGTTGGCACAGCTACCCGGTTCAGTGTGTCTCCAAAGACTTGTTTACTACTGGGAATGTAGCAAATCTCAACGTCATAGCCTCGCAAACTAAGCAACATTCTATGAAACCTCAGTGGAGCTTGTGACAGTGGTTTGTTACTGATTGCTTGTAAGGGCCTGTGGTCTGTCTCTACAACAACACTTCTGCCATAAATGTACTGGTGGAACTTACTGCAAGCAAAAACAAAGGTGCTTCACATCTTCTTTGCTTGTCATGCATTGTCTCATTGCCAGCCACTATTACACTATCCATAAAGACCTCCATGCCATCCAAATCTTCAACCATTCGATCCATGGTCCTTTGAAAGATTTCCAGGGCACATTTCACTCCAAAGGGTAGCCTTGTAAATCCGTACCAGCTGATGGAAGTGTTGAATGTGCAGAGGCACGAAGACTCTTCATCTAATTTTAGCTGACAGAAGCCACTTGCAACATCCAGAATGCTGAAGTAATGGCACCTTTAAGACGACTGGCCACTTCATCAATGGGTCCTCATGGGGTATTGGGGTCTCTTTATGGCAAGATTTAGATCCCTCTGATCAATGCACAGTCTCGCTGCACCAGTAGGCTTCTGTACTACAACAAGCAAGTTGACTCATTCAGTTGGTTCTTCCTGTGCACAGTTACTCCTAGCTCTTCCATCATTTTTATTGCCTTAACAATTTTTACTCTCTGTGGAACAGGTACCTTCCTTGGGGCATGGACTACAGGCACAGCTTCTTCTGCAAGCTCTATGTGAAAAGCACAAGGCAAACATTCTAATCCAGTGAACAATTCTGGATAGTCCTCCAGTTCCACTCATTTGGATGGTAGATCCTGACCTATCAGCTGATAAACCCTTTTTGGAGGACCAAACTTAGTGCAGGAGTTTCCACTAAGCACAGATTCCACCTCAGTATCCACAACAAAGAATTTGATGTTTTCCACTTTATTTTTGTATTGAATGATCAACACTACTTCTCCTTGAGGCTTCAGTTTGTGCTTTGAAAAGGAAAGCAGTACAGTTCTTGTCTTTCTCCAGGGTGGTAGGGGTCTGCACTTGAGGCTGCTGTAGGTTTTCAAGGAAATAACAGTAGCTTTCACACCGCTATCAAGTTTGAATGGAACTTTGGTGTCCTCTACCTCAACAGTTTCATAAAATTGTTCATCCTTAGCTACACTGTTTGATTCAACCAAACAGGGGTGACTCATGTCCACTTTGTCCTGAATCATCTGAACTAACTAGCCTGAATTTCATCCGCTTACTTCGAGTCATTATTACTCCCTAACTAACGTCTGAATTGACCAGCCGTTAATGCCGTCCAGTGACGTCACTCACTACCTGAAAATCGGGTAGTGATTTTGATTGGTTGATTGCCTAAACATCCACATAATTATGTATAATAATAAAAAATTTTAGCGGGAGAGTCGCTTGACATTCAGCAGATTGCATGCCTGGGCATTCTTTCGTGTAGTTCAAACATTTTGATAAGCTTAATCTTTATCTTTAACAGCAAAATTACCCTTGTCTTCGAAACTGAAATGCTAAATTGAACTGCCAATGAAGAATCATCGCGGAAAGTCGGTAGGTTTCTCATTTAGAGTGACGTTTTGTGGTTTCAGCAGTGGGTGATTTAGCTTATGCGAAGTTTTCTGAGATCAATGTTATAATTTGACCTTCTTGCTATTTTCACCTTCAAGTGTAATGATTCTGTTAGCTTTTCTTTCTTGTTCCCTTGTTTTTTTTTCTTCATTAAGGACCAAATAGCTTCTTTTCAATTAAAGCAAATCATTGTGTTTTTGAACTTAGTGTTCCGTTTGTGTGTTTATTTCATTGCGTGATTGCCACCAAGTTTGATTATCAGAGATAAGGTCCAATTTTAGCGGTTCTCATACATTCTCTCTAATGGCCAGCGCTAAAATTGCCCGCCGGAATGTTATTTAATTACAAAGCGAAACGAAAATTGAGCGTGATCTCAGGTTAGATTATAGAACTACATCCTGTTCAGAGTTGTACTGCAAGCAGTTGATAGTTTGAACGTTAAACATGAATTAACGATCGAAAAAATAAAGTAATTCTGTATCTTGCAGACATTTCCAAATGATATTTTTCAGTTTGCCACTTGAAAATCGTATTTTACTTTTTGCATGAATTAAAGCAAAGGTCAAAAGTAGTGGCGTCACTACTCGGCATTAACGGCCGGTCGATTCAGATGTTACTGAGGAAGTAATAACGACTCGAAGTAATCGGATGAAATTCAGGCTACTGAACTAACTTGTGAATCATCTTCTTCTTGTAGGTGATGCACTTATTTTGATCTACAGAGCTTGGAATAATGATTCATCTTTTTGCAGAAACTGTTGAAACTGTTGCTGGACATTTCTTGTGGGTTTTGTTGTAACCACACCTCCAGCACTTGTCTTTCGTTTCCTTCTGAACCTTTTTTTTATGTCTTGCTTGTTTGTGCCTTTATTTGAATGCTTATGATGACTCCAAGTTTAGCGTTTTTCTTTGTTTACAACATTCACAGTCAGGTGTTCGTCTTTGGCAAGCTTCTTTAGGCTGTTTAGATTCGTTTCATGGTTGCGACCAATTTCCACAGCTTTACCTCTAAATTGAGGTACTTTTAATGGACTTTAGTGTGCTTGCAGCGGAACACAATTGTGTCACAAACCATTCTTTCTTTCTATTGGTACATATAGCTCCAGTCCTTTACGAGGATCTTTAGATCCATTACAAAGGATTCAAAACTCTCACGGTCGGCTTTTCGGCATTCTTTGGACTTCAAAGCAGCCATGGTGTGGTTTTTATGTGGAGCACAGTACTCTTTGTACTTTTCCAGTACGATGTTTAATTTTGCTACATGTACATCTTAACTTCGGGCTTTGTGAATTGAAATCCTTCAAAAACGCCCAGTGCTTTGTCTCCTACCCACAACTAACCTTGACACTCTCCTCCTTATCATTTAAGGGACTGTCTAATGTACAACTTGCTTCTCTGTAGAAGAGATGCCACTTGAAGGTTAGATCTTGTGTTGTCCAAACCATCTCCAGACCCTTGTATCTCGCCATCGTAGCTCTTGTATAATTTTCAATCAGTGATTTTTTATGACCGATGGGAAACTGTGATTGAAGAACAATTCTTCGACTTGGATTTTCACTGTACTTTGAAACCATGTAAGATAAATACAATCAGCCAAGATGGTTGACCAGCTAAAAGCACTTTATTCCTCCTGTATGTCACACAATACACAACAACAAATAACATGATGCACTAGGGTGGTCTAAGCATTTATGTCACATGTACGAGCAAGGAAATACAGTCAAACCTCATTAATATGGACACTGAAGGGACCGTAGAAAGTGTCCGTATTAACAGGGTGTCCGTGTTAAGGGCGACGTTATTAGAACAAAATACTAAAGAAATAAAAGAGGACATTGGCATCTTCAAATTAACATCATCTCTAACTTTCACAAAGTCATCATTCCATGGACTAAATCCACTGAAACGCTGAAAAAAATTGCTTATCTATATAGTTCTCGGCATAACTAGTTTGATGCCAGAAAATAGTCTGAAATTGATATCTACAAATCTCTGTATCTGGTTTTCCTCTAGTGCTGAGAACATCAACATGCTGTCAACTGAAGATTTTCTTACCTTCAAGAAGGAAAGGTTTCATGTTATAACGTACAGTTGATAATGAAGTGTCCGCATTAGTGAGGTTAACTTTCTACAAGAATCTGTTCATTGGGCAAGAAACAAGTGTGTGACGAAGCCCTTAGAACCTCTGCATGGGCAGCTACATAGTGGATGAAACTCTGTGAAGTGTTTGATATAGCTTCTCAAATGAACAATAATTCTTGAAGAAATTCAATGCTAAATTTTGCAAAAGTTGTGGCAATTTATGCCCATTTCAAACATTAAACTTTACATGTTCTGAACAGAGTAGAAATGGACTTTAAAAAGTCATCTCCTTCATGAAGGCTGTCAGCCACAAAATAATTGATAATTATCGAGATACAGTTGGTTGAATTACTGGAAAATCTTCACCACTTAGGCCATTAACCAGCCTTAAAAAAGTCTTTTTGTTGTAAATATCTCAGTTTTTTTTAAGTTAAAACAGTGCAAAAAGCCATCAAACAACCCCAGGCGTGGGGGGAAGGGTGCCTGGGTTTATTTTTGCTGGGTATGTGCCGCTGGCCTCTCATAGCCCCTACCCCATTATAGTCTATTCTGTGGCCAATTAAAGACCCCATCTTAATCACTTTTGGGCAAATATGTAATTTTCGCGATCCCAATTTAGCCACTTTCTATTTATGTATCTACCTTATCAAACCTTTAAATAGGGCATCATAAAATGAAGTGACCCATTTTTTAAATTGAATGAAGAACACTTTACTTTTCATGCACCTACAGTACAAACATTCTGGTCCATTTGCTAACCATAAATGTGAAGAACTTTCTTATGCCAACAATCAGAAAATGTGCAACCCCATTCTGGTAACTCTATTGAAAAAGCGACCCCATTATAGTCAATCCAGTCATAAAAATGTGACCCCATCCAGCGGAACATCCCCATTAACCTCTTATAAGGAAGTAGCCCCCCACAACACCTTTGCATCGGGAAAAATAATTGATGCAATTGAGCAGGCAATTATCTATGTGCTTGGTGGAAATCAACAATAGCAAACCCAGGTGTCCATCCCTTTTTGGGGGGAGGAGACGGGGGTCATTTCCTGAACAGTGACTGGTAATTGAGCCTAGATTAAACCTGCCTATAAGTTGACCTTAAATTTTTTCACAACCACAAAATAATGCAAGGAGATCACAGCAGTTAGTTGCATCATAAACTGTAATGATCTTCATTGCATTTATTTCTTCATTCTGCAGTTTATTACAAGAATTTCAGAATATTCATCATTATTTTAATGACTGATTGTGTTGTGGTTATTTATTTTTTTTCAGTCCAGTTGTGCAAATCCCTGGAGTCGCCTTGTAATTATGAAAAAAGCAGCAGCTGAAAGCATTACACAGCTTGCCAAGGAATTCATTATTTTATTCAAGCCATTTTCCTCCAAATTGCTCTTTCCATGATTTTAATGGGCAGTCAGCAGTCAGCAACAGGTCAGTGGCCAATTAGTGACTGTTTTCAACTTCTAATTTTACAGTCAATTCTGTATTATGTGGACCTGCATTAATTAATGCCAAGCACAGTGTAATTGTATTGCACCAGTACAGGTACATCTTGACAAGGTTACTGTTTTAATTCAATTATAGAGGTGAAGTCGATAAAAAAAATCTCATTAAAACCTCTGACTGTGGCTCTACCGCAAGTAAATAGAGGTTTTGTGGCGCTCTTTAAGTTTGTAAGGAAAAAACTGCAATTAGAACCAAAATGTGAAAGTCCAAGAAGCAGTTTTATTGCTTTTAAAAATCATATGGGTATATAAAAAAAACCTAAATCACCTTAAGCACAAATTAATACTAATTCTGCTTGTAATGGTTTCAACCTCCCAGCTCACCCCTTTCATTTCATTGTTTTCTTTTTACAATAAATCTTATGGCCTAATTGTCTCTTACTCTATCTTCTTAATGACTACAAGGAGTAATTAAAATCAAATCTTAATCAAATAATAGAGCGTTTTCACTCACGTGACCACCATCTATGCAAATTATTTGAAACAAAAGGATGCGTTTACATAAGAAAAGAGTTCAACTCCCACAGGATTAGTTTGGTACATCAACATGGCTGCTGTTTTATTGTTTTGGAACACCAATATGGCCGCCGTGACGTCATGTGAAAACGCTCTATAACACAATATTACCAATTATTGTATTTTAATAACACGATTAAAATTATGTCAAACTTTTAGAAATAGTTATATTTAAAATGAACGTCCATTATTTTCTGTAACTTCATTGAAAAGCTTATGGTATTTGAAGTTACCATAAAATAAACATATACAATTGAAACATTTCGTCTTTTCCACTTTTCCCTGTAAAAAAAGAAGAGGGTTTTCAGTCAGAAATGGTCCGTGTTAGCACAACACAGTAAAAAATAATTGTAATTCCAAGCCTTGCAAGGTTTATAAATTTGTCGCACATGCAACGCCTCTCGCATGTTGATCGACAGCAAGGCAGAAACTCGAGTTGCAAATATTTCTATTATATCTCTTGGGTGTCTGCAGTAGACGTCATCCAGTTGTGACATCAGGGTGCATTTTATAGTTGCCAGGCAACACTACTTCAAGTACGAATGCAAATGCTGTGGTGCACTATCATGTTTTATTCAAAAGTGCATTTCACTTCGGCTTTTTACCGGCAAGGGCTTGCTTTTCCCTAAAATCTGTACCTTTGAAATCTTATTACACCGAGGCATACCAATAGTGAATTGGTTCTTTCCCCGCCAATCGATGTGACTGATTGATCCAATCAAAGGCTGGTTTTAGCTCCATACATCCATCCGCCATTGAACCCAAGAGTGAATTAACACCGAAATAATTCAGAATTGCTTCGAAATAAACTAAGCCTCTGAGTTAATTTTCCTCAAATGTATCTTTGAATTTATGATAAATACAGTTCCACCAACTTCAAACAGCATTCACGTCAGAGAAAAATGCTTAAAGTATAATAGTTTTAGCATAACAATTATTCAGTGGCTGCATGGCACAGTGGTTAAAGGATCTAACTTCACTTGTGGTAGACTCAGAGGGGGGAGTTCTAATCACGGCAAAGCGTTACTTTTAAACTTTGTACATTTTTCCCCCTTGGCTTGTTTCCCTTTATTCTCACTGCTGATCCTTTAAAGTCTTTGTGTTAAAAGCAATGTTAAGCATTATGCAAATTCCTACTCTCCCATGTTTTTATATTATCACTTAATTGATTTGAAATCGCATCATAAATTTGAACTCTGTTCTCAAAGTGCTTTGATCACTCAACGTGTCTACGCATTAGCATCATTATTTTTTTATATCTGTTCTTTGACTGCTTTATATTTACCAATTAAGTTCAGACAAGTAGACATTAGCAAAAGAAGTTTTGTTTCCATCAGTGAATGGGCAATTGGTGTTGCAAACAGAATGTTGTTTCTGCTTTTAACAAAGTCAATGTTAACTAGTCGCCTCAAAATGTCGTATTATATTTTTGAACCTTTCACAAGATGTTAACTTTCTTAATGATGACAAATATTTTTCCTCAAATAAAGTTTGTGAAAGAAAAATAAAATTATTCAGAAGATCAAAAAAGACATTGAGTACTACTATCTTCCTCCCCAGCTGGAAATATTCAAGGTTCTGAGGAAAGGGAAACAGATCCAAAGTTTTTCAGATATATTGAATGAAGTGAAGAGCCTTGCCTTGAATCAGCGTGCCATGGTTCATTGAATGACCTCCTTCATATAGCCAATTAACTGGACTAGCTTAAGAATTTGACAAAATTTTCTCAGGATGGATGGAAATAAAGACATTTCTGATGATTTCAGAAGCTCTAACTTTCAGACTTGTCCAGAGGAGTATGCCCCTGGCATCTAACTATATAAGCTTGCACCACCAAACCAAAATATGCTCTACGGTCTCTTTGAGAGATGATTTCTCATTTTAGCAGATAATTGCCTGTATACTACAAAACAGATTGCAGACTAACAGTAGTATTCATTTGGTGTAGAGTAAGTCTAGGTTT